TTTCAGAACTTACTGTCTCAAAGCCCAGCAGCCTGTCTACCATACCTCTTCACACACTGTCTCGTTAGCTGGCGAAATGCCCACCAGCAAATCATGGAATTGTTCACATTGATTGTGGAAATCGGTAGACCCCAGACCCAGTCTGAGTGAGGGTTTTTTTTATTGAACTCTTTTCCCCCCTTCCCTTTGAAGTACATTGATTGTTCAAAGAGCTTGCTAGGAGTAGCCTGTTGGGGGTGAATTTGACCGTCTAGTTAAGTTTCTACCAGAGCTGTTGTTTTGTATGTGTGTAGGCTGTAGCTCAAGACGTTGTGGTCTGCAATTGAAAACTGGCTGGTTGCAGGAGCAGGCGAATCTTGCTGTGGATTTTTAGGAATTTGGGTTCTGAGCTCCTGGGAACTCTTCTGTGTCCTGACTTTGAAGAGAGCTGAGGTGGGGCATGGTGGGGAGGAAAGAACACTAGATGGGGGATACAGAGCCTGCTGTTTTTTACTCAGGACCTCAGTTCCCTCATCTGTAAAATGGGCAGGGGTTGGACAAGATGACCTTGAAGGTCTCTTCCAAGGATAAATTCTCTCCTCCTGTGCTGGTCTCCAGGATGTAGTCTGGAGAGACTTCAGAGGTCCAGGAATGGTGAGCTTTGGGGACTGTCTGCTGGAAAAGCATGGTGGAAGGGCCTAGGATTGTTGTCCCTGTGGCGTGCCTTCTCAGGCAGCCCTGCACCATGGCTTCTGTGTTAAAAGGCCGCCAGAAGCTACATGAGGGAGCATGTGCACAAATGAATGGTGGTTACCCCACCGCTGTTAGTGCAGCCAAAGCTCCAACAGCTGCCCTATGGGCTCTGAGCCTGTCTCTGGGCCTGATGTAAAGCCGTGTGACTTGTAGTAGAAGGGAAATGGGACCCGTGTAACTCGTGCCCCAGAGGTGCATTCCAAAGGGGCCAAACTCTGTCGGGAATTGATATTCTAATAGTAATTATTGAGAAGTTCCCCCGGCCCCCACACCAGCTTATGTCCATGTGTCCATCTTCTGTTAGATTGCAAGCTCCTTGAGGGTAGAGACTGTCTTGTTTGTTTGCCTTTGTGTCTCCAGCACTTAGTACAGTACCTGGCACATAATAAGTGCTGAATAAATGTATTTTCAATTCATTCATTCATTCATTCATTCATTCATTCATTCCCCCTCTCTTTAAATGTAGCATTCTCTTAGTGTGTTGGTGGTGTGAACCTCTTCTGTTTTTTCTCTCTAAGTACAGAATCAGAATGATGGGACTGGAATCCAGTCCTGTCATTTTTAGCACATTTTACTTTTGGCTTCATGGGGTATTCACCCGTGGCCATGGCCAGATGACACCTACTTCATAAAAACATTGTGGTTGGTGCTTTGGGTGAGAAGCTGAGTCCAAGAATTGATTTCCTCTGGTATTATCATCTTCTTGGGGAAACTGCCCTTCCCAAGGTAGAGCACAGTGCATTCCAATAAACATTTTTTAAGTGTTTCCTTGCTGGTGTAGGAAGATACTTCAGTGTTCCGCTCGGTTCTGATATGGGTGCACCCTCGAGTGATGTAGCTTGCAGCCTATCCATGCCTCCTACTCTGTTGTGACCCTTGTTCATGATTCCCATAAATCTCCTCATCTGCCCATCATTCTTGGGGCCTCCTCTCATCCTATTGACATTTATAATACAAACTCTGCCCATGGATTATCACTGTCTCTTTTCTTATGTGATTGGCCCATCTCTTCTTCTAGTCATAAATATCTTTTCCCACACCTTTAATGCTGCCTCTGGTGTGATTCCTCATTTGTAATGTTTTGTAACCTGCCATGAACCTCCCCTTTGCCTTTTGGGTGATCTTTAACTTAAATTCTTTGGATCCTCTAGTCTTCTCTAACTAGCATCAGTGTAACAGCACTGGATGAGTATTTATGTCAAAAGAAGGTTTTTTGTTTCAGGCAGAAGCTCGTTTTCATTAGACCTGTTATCACTGAAAGAACTATACCATTTCTCTAAAGGTAATCTAGCCTGTTCTTCTCCTGTTCAGTTTTACTCTCCACTCATCATCCATCTTCAGCGTCTGTCCAGCATACAGCTCCTGATGCACCAGCTCTATGGGCTTTCCATCCAACTGTGTTTCATAATGTGGACAACTAGCATTCTTCATCCTCTTGGTTTTTCCCGTGTGGATGGTTAGACTTAGGAACGATTATGAATCTTGCTTTGGAGGTTCCAGGCTTGATGCAGGTGTCTCAGTGTATCATCCACAGCCAAGAGGAGATGCAAGGCGTCACCATCCATAGAGATTCCCTTGGTATGGTGTGAAGAGTGTGGGTTCTGGAATCGGAGAACCAAGCTTCAGTCCTTGCCTCTGACCTTGCCTGGGAACGTGACCTTGGGCACATCACCTCACTGCTCTGCATGTCAGGTTGAGGGGTTTGGGTTAGATGGCCTCTGCAGCCTCTTCCAGCATTAGACAGAGGAGCCTATGATCATCTTTATTTTGAACTCTGTACTCAGCCTCCCCTATCATGGCGGTGAGGACCTTTGGCAAGAATGCATCTCCTTGTTTTTTCCTTGCTTGATATTAATTCTCAGAGGACTGCCAAACAAAGTGATTTCTTTTGTTGCATTTTTTTCAAAGAAAAATGTATGATTTTCGCATATGCATTGTATTAAAAGAAAACCTGGAAGGTGGCATTTTGTGCTACCAGATAGAATGTTTTCTTGTCGTCAACAACAATGAACAGATGGGATCTTGCATTCTCTGCACCGTTCAGTTAGTTATGTGACTGTAAAGTCGTGGTCTGCTATAGAATATTGTTTGCAGAAGCCTGCCTGTTTGCTTCAACACGTGTTCTTCAAGGATGCCTTCGGTGCGTGTATCGATTATTATCCTAGAAACTTAACAGAGATGGAAAAGTCAGTGTGTGGGTTGGGTAGTTAGTGATATCTTATAGTCAGTCTTGTAACATTTTACAGATGCAGTTGTGTTCCAAATCATGATAGCCTTTGGCTTTTCTATCTGTCTTTCTGGTTGGTATGTATTTCAGGAGTTTGCTGACCAGTGTAGTTTCTAGGTTTTTTTGAGCTCCTCATTATGGCAATTGATTGGCACCCATTACACTTCCTTGGGAAATTGTTATAATCCACGTCAGTCCCTGTTTCCCGTCCACGTACCGGTTTTTAGCACCTACAGCTCATTTAAATAGTTCATGATAGAGTAGTTTTAATTGTATGCCATATTTTTTTTCTCTTAATTCTTACAGTTTTATGTTAATTTTGAATCTTTGCTTTAACAATCTGTGATCTGACTGCACAGTGACAGCCAATTTGTGAATGGCACCCCAGCAGCAATTTCCCCCCTGTCTGCTAAAATATCACTTTCATTTTTGGTTGTGTTATTTTATGTATTCCATGTCTAGGGTCTCCTGATTTTTTTTTCTTGGAAAAAGTATTTATGTATAGGCATGAGACTTCTGTATATTCTATAAGCCTGTCTCCTTTCCTATTAAGTTTTTGGGGTGCAAAGGCAAGGCTAAAATGGCTCCGGCCCTCCAGGTGCTTACAAATGTAAGGGAGCATTTATTATTTTTCTAATAATCAACAGCTTTTTTAATCATTTAAGGATGAAGTATGGAAAGAGCACTGACTTGAGAGCCAGAAAACCTGGTTTAAACTGCACCTTTGACACTCCCCAAGTGACCTCGGGTGAATCACCTACTCTCTCTGGGACTCAATTTCCTCATCTACAAAATAAGAGGGTTAGACCAGCCAACTTACTAGATCCCTTTTTGCTCAAGAACTATGGTTCTGCGTATCTTTAAGAAAATTCCCGGGGCAGCTAGGTGGCACAGTGGATAGAGCACTGGGCCTGGATTCAGGAGTACCTGAGTTCAAATGCGGCTTCAGACACATAACACGTACTACCTGTGTGACCCTGGGCAAGTCACTTAACCCCATTGCCTAGCCCCGCCCCCCCCAAAAAAAGAAAGAAAGAAAATTCCCAAGGAAAAATTCTACTGACATTAGATTAAGCTTAGTCTTTATAGTGACGTGATGATTATAATAATATAATTCATTGCAAAAAGAAATTCTTAACCTGGTGCCACAGACCTCGAAAATTAGGATCTATGGATCAATTGCAGGGGGTTCATGAACTTGGATGAGGAAAAAATACATCTTTATTTCTATATAATTAGATTCCTTTGTAATCCTATGCATTTTATTTTATGCATTTAAAAACACTTAAGGCTTCATAAAACTGCACAAAAAAGGTGAAAAATCTCAGATTTAGAGTCTTTCAGTGACTGTGCTGAATTTTTTCCACCTGTAAGATGGAGTAAGGCATTGTTTCCCTTTAAGAGTCACGTGCTTGCAAGTTTGAAAGGACCGCCAGAGATCACTAAGCAGGACTGTTTCTAAACCATGCCCCTCTCCCCTCAACTCCAAACAGGAATTTATTCAGTTATAACAAATACATACATACATATATATATATATATATATATATATATATAAAAATAGATATGTGTAGACACACACACACACACACACATATATATAACACAGATTTGTTGAGAAACTGTTGAATGCTCCATGTATTATGGAATAATGACTCATAATCCTTTCAGCATTACATGAAATATTACCGTGCATTGAGATTCTCAGATGAAAGGTATGATGGCTATTGAAATGATGCTCTGTATTATAAATAAGGGGCGTTACTAAAGTGTGGGATAACTTTGACATGTAACCCATCAGATATCCAGCTCATGGAAAGCGTGGTTTCATGGAGCAAAGAACAGTTAACTGGGGAGGAATCATGAGATATAGCCGCTAGTCCTGGCCCCATCACTGAGTGTCTATATGACCTTCAGTGCTTATCAGTCCTCAATGAAGGATTGGATTAAAGTCTCTCCCAGTTCTGTGTTGCATTCTGGGCTGGTCCATGATGGCGGTTGGTTCCCAGCTCTCACCCTCCGTGCTCTTATGTCTCCATAGGGTGTGACCTACTGTGGAGAAAGCTCTGCCAGCAACCTCACCATGGCCAACGTGCCTTGGCATGAGGAAGTGGTACGCTTCGTGGAAGAGCTTGTGGATCTACTCCCCAACTACGAAATCGCTTGTGAGCACGAACACTCCAATTGCCTCCTGATCGCGCACACCAAGGTAAGGACGGCTGGAGAAGGCCCTCCCCTCTGGTGCCTGCTCTTCTCCTCCTGCACCAGGGATACCTGACGCTCCATCTCTTGCTCCTTTTCTATAGCTCATCTTTGTGATTTTGCAGACTTCCTTCTAGTGACCTTGTCAGCCGGGCTGCTGCACACCTGTCTGTGCCGTTCTCTCCTTTTTGAGCCATCACCAGGGTGCCCCTGCTCTTGCCAGGGTGCAATCTGGAAGACCACCACATGCTCAGAAACTGCCCTTGTCACCCCCTCTAGTCCCTGGGCTGATGTGAGGGAGAAAAACTCAGAAATAGTAAACAGTCCTATGATGAGAGTTTCTATCTGTCAGAAAAAAATGAAAGCGCTTCTCATACGCCGGATCGCTTAGAATTGCTGGTGCCCAGAGAGTTCTGCCTGATGATTCTCCCCTCTCCTTTTTGGTCTCGCTGCTGTTGGAGAGGGCTGATGTCCAGATATAGTCTTTCTTCCACAAACAATGCCTTTCTCCCCTTTTAAAATTTAAAACAGTGATAATAGCGATGACTATCAGCCCAAATCAGAAAGCCAGTATTAGAGTTATCCAAATGATTGTCTTAGTTCTTTTTTTAAGCTAGTCAAAGTTCAACAGACCCATGTTTCCTCTTCTCCATAAATAAACAGTCTCTGTGCAAGATAAAATTCTGCTTGTGTTAAACACAGAAAGCTCTTTGCTTGAACAAGCAGATAGCGGCATCCAAGCTGCCTCCAGAATCACTTCTCCAGGGAATGGCCTGAAACAAAAGGCAAATGCTTGGGTTCTGATTTCACAGCCTTCTGGATATGGGAATGCACGAGACGGAGTCCCCTCACTTCAGAAGGGGGCAGCCTGTCCCTCACCTGCTCAAGCACTTCAGACTGCTCTGTGATCACACCTGCAGTTTCCTTGAAACAAAGATGTCTTATAAATACCGAAAGATAATTGAAATATAAATGAACAGCCATGGGGATGGTTAACTTGCCAAATAGTTAAGCCTGTTGCAAATACTTTTTTAAAAATTGAATTGAATTTTCTAGTTTCTCAGTGTTATTTCCTTAGATGAGGTCACTGACTTCATTAAAAAAAAAAGTGCTTTTAGAGTCTTTCAGTGACTGTGCTTTAATTTGGAGGTTCCTTGGTCTTTAGTAGATGATGAAGAAACACCCCCTCCTTTTCCCCCACTGTAGGACCCTTCTGGATTTGTCCATAGCCAATTGGAAATGGGAAATGGACAACAGAAATGACATTGACACTGATTATAATAATTTTATGAAAAATTTAACCGGCGTAAATTGGTCACCACAATTAGGAGACCAAAGGAGCCCAGAAAGTGCCTCAGTCAGCAAACATCTGACTTATTTGTCAAATGGAAAGGAGATGTTTATAAAAGGCAACACCCAGGCTAGAATGTAAATTTGGCTGCTGGGTCTCATGAATCAAGATGATGGATCATTTTGAGCAGTGTCGGTAATCTTATAATGCCGTGAGAAGCAGTGGTGGATAAAACTAGTTCAGAGAAGCTTGGCAAGACATCCATACAGTTAAAGGCATTCCTAGGGCATTTGAAGATGAAAAGATTTGTAAAAATCACAAATGGCTTTCTCTGCATCACGGACAGTAGAACCACCTCACTTGGGCCCCACTCGGGCCGTCCTGGATGTGACTTTGGGGAGGCAGAAATGCTACTCAGGAGATCAGAGACGGAACAAGCAGCTGGCTTGATCAGGGGTATTGTATGGAGGAGGCCCGCGCTGGAGGATTCGTGAGTCCCTCCAGTGATGCAGAATGCAGCCCATCCGTACCAGCCTCGCCTGGATGGACTCTCACCCAGTTCTTCCCCAAGTTTGCTACAGCAGCTCCATCCAGCAAGCTGGAGAACACCCTCTTTTCTCCTGACATCATGAAGGTACTTGTAGAGCACCCAGATATCCCTGCCTCCCTCACCCTCGCCAGAGGACCAGCCCAGTGTCTTTTCCTGTCATGCAGTTCCTTCTTGGCCTCCTTTACTCCTTTCTTTGGGAATTCTCATTGGCCGAATGTTCCAGCCTGCCCACCCCACCGTGCACCTCTGGAGCTGAGTTGAGTTTGGACAAGACTGACCCAGGTGACTCATTTACAAAACAAAACAAGACAGTCTTTTTTTAAGTGTAAATTTGTGTGGTGCAGACCCAAAGAGACACAGCAGCTTAGCACAAGGAGGACTGAAGGGGAGGAAAAGGCACCTGCAGGAAGTGCTGCTTGTTTGGGGTGGAAGAGAGCTAGGAGGCCACTTCTGGAGGGGGGTGGGACAAGCACAGGCCTCGCTCTCCCAGGGAAAAAGGACAGAGAGGTGAGTGAGGCTGGGCAGGGGAAAGGAGACTGACTAGGGCAGAAGCTGTTCTTGGGGAGAGGGGGAGATTCCAGGGGAGCAGACCATGAAGGCCTTGTCAAAGCGGGGGTGCTTCTCCCGGTTCTGCCAGAGAGACCCTGGGCCTGTCGTAGGTTTGTGATCAGAAGAGCGGCCGGTGTGACTGGAGCTGCTACTTCACGCTTCTGGGTCTCAGTTTCCTCTTTTGTAAAAATAGCAGTAGACTAAGTGATGTCTAAAATCCTTTCCAGCTCTGAGTCTGTGATTGTCTAATGAGAGTTGATGTTTTAGGAATTTTTTCTTTTTTTGTGAGGCAGTCAGGGTTAAGTGACTTGCCCAAGGTCACACAGCTAGTACATGTCAAGTGTTTGGTCTGAGGCCGGATTTGAACTCAGGTCCTACTGACTGCAGGGCCGGCGCTCTATCCACTGCGCCACCTAGCTGCCCCTATGTTTTAGGAATGTTAGTGTGGATTGGGGAGCAAAGAGAGTCACATCCAGGGTGCTAACCAGGAACTGGTTGTTGCTCTGAGGTCCTGGTACCTAGGCTTGGGTAGCATGGGAATGGAGAAGAAGATAAATGTTCTTTGAAATAACCACAAAGCACTTTCCGCACGATAGCCCTGTGAGTCAGGACATGCAAATATTCTCTCCGTATTAGAGACAGGTAAACTGAGGCTCGGCGAGACCTTGCCCTATTAGGTGCTGAGTTCAAGACTTGAACCTAGGTGTCTGACCGTCAAGCCCAATGTTCTTTCCAACACCAGGCTCTATTTCAAAGGAAGAATTGGAAGGATTTGGGGACTAACTGGCCAGAGTGTAGGAGTTCCTAAAATGTTTTGTGTTACAGCCCCCTTTGGCAGACCCTTCCTCAGAACAACACTTTGCAGTGTGTAAAATAAAATATACTGGATTACACAGGAAACCAACAATCATATTGAAATAAAGATCTAATTTTCCCAATCCAAGTTCATGAACCCCCTGAAATCTATCCATGAACCAACCCTTGGTGGGGGATGGCCTTTGTACCCCAGGTTGAGAACCTGTGTTACAGTGAGGAATAAATGGGGGGTAAAAGTCAGAATTAATTCCAAGATTAGGTGCCTGGATAACTTGGAGAATGATGTTATTGTAAGCAGAAATAGAAAATTAGGGGGTGGGAGCCTCTTTGGAGCCAAGCAACAGCTGGGTGGACATGATTAATGCTGAGTATGTTGTCCCATGAGATGATGGGTCATCCAGGCATATCTCATGAGGCAGATTGCCATCTTCACATTGTACCATACTAGGTTATGTCCTTATGCTTATAGGCTGTCATTGTTTTTTTTCTTCACCAAAATTTAAGCTCTGCATGGTTAAAAGTACCAACTGCGGACGTGTCCGTGGAGGAGTCACACGTAGAGCTGAGTGGCTTTGGGTGCCAACTTAGTCCTTATCCAGAGACTCCTCATTCTGGGCTAGAACTAGAAAGGCTGGCCAAAGGAAATACCCACAGTCACTTAATTGGTTATTAGAACTTACACAGGCAGATATTTCCATTGGCAGATGGTGACAGCGGCCTTGGAGCCAAATTTGCATAATCTGACTGCCTAAGCTCTCATTACTGCTAATGTGTTTAATGCTGTTTTATATGAACATGTAAGAAATATGTATTTATTAAGATAGTTTACTGTAATACGTATGAGTAAGGATGGATTATATTACCAAGTCAAGCCTACCGGGCTTTCTGTCCAACGTCGTACTGTGAATCCACATCGAAGACTTTGGTCACTACTTCTCTGGATTTCTAGGTATTCAATGTGAAAGTTACATGGCGCCATATGCAGTTAGGATCGTCCTTCCAATTAGTTGGATGTAATCTTTTTTTCTGCCCTCCAGCAGCTTCACTCTCAAGAATGAGCCCTCAGTGACTAGAAGCTGTGAGGAAGGGCAGGGATGTGTAACACCTGAGGGTTGGGGGCTGGGTTCAAAATCTACTTCTCACACTCACTTGCTGTGTGACTACGGACCAGTCGCTTTGACCTCTCAGAGTCTCAATTTCTTGCTTACTAAATGAGGATAGTAATAAGCACCTACCTGACAAGATTTACTGTGAAAATCAGATGACGTTGTAGAAATATGGACACGTGTGTATATGTGTTGAAAAATATATGCAGCGTCTTTAGCGAACAGTATATAAATGCAAGGTATTGTCAGTCCTGCGGCCCATTTTCTTGCCTGGCTAATTTCCTTAAGCTTGAGGGTTTTTGGCTTTAGGGCCTTTGCTGATTTGTACAGTCATTTATTTTTGCTTCTGTGGCCTTGGAGACCTCAAGGATTGAGTGAGGTATATATTAAGAACTAGTGAAAGAGCATTTAGGATTCTTCTCCCAGCTCACCAGTTTCACCGGCTAGAAGTTGAGCAGAAAAAGAATTCTTTTCTTCTGTGAAAGTGCTTTTTTATTTTAAAATTAATTTGTGTTTCCAAAGCTGTTTGCCTTTTTCATCAGAGGAGCTCCTGAATTGTTCCGTTCTAGCTGCATTACCACACTCCCATTTTAATGAGCTGCAGAGAATTAATCACTAATCATTACTCAGCTTTGCAAGCAGGCCTGGCTCTCAGCCAGATCCTGTGTTGATGCCTTGATAGGGAATCTTTATCC